ACCAATCTTGGTCTCTATTTTTCAGATTTTAAAATATAATATTTGGATTAGAGACCAAAGTTGGTCGCTTTTTTATGATTAATAATAAATAAATAACGTATTTTACATTTAGAGACCAACTTTGGTCGCCAAAATTATATTATTAAAATAATAAAGCGACCAAAGTTGGTCGCTATAGTCTTTACCCGGAATATTTGGTCATTTTACCTTAGAGACCATCAATATTGCGACCAGACATGTTTGGTCGCTTTTTGGTCGCTTTTAGGCCTATAAGCGACCAACTTTAGTCGCTTTTTGTGGTCGCTTTTTACCGGATTTCTAGTAGTGGTAGATATACATTCCGATAGAATCAATACAACAGTGACTTTCTCTCCCAAAATATCTTCTATCTAACTCCATGGATGAACTTTGAGATTGAGCTCCAGACTGGGGAAACTAACATGGTATCAGAGTAGTGACTGGGTCATACGCTCGTTGTGAGATTTCAGTTATCAATTTTATGTCTTGCTCTTCTTCAATTTCTTCTCTACTGTGATTTTCCTTTGTTCTGCGATAATAGCGAACGATGATGAAATCGAAGAGAAAATTGATCACACACATCCATTGTATGTTCATCCTTCTGATATACCTGGATCGATCCTAATTCCAGTGAATTGATAGGATCTGAAAATTATGGGCTTTGGCAAAGGTCGGTGCAAATTGCACTTCAAGCTAAGTGAAAACTTGGGGTTGGTGACTGGTACGTGTAGAAAGGACTAATTTAGGACTGAATTTTGTAAGGATTGGAAAATTTGCAATGAAATTGTTCTGTCTTGGATTATGAACACGGTATTGATGGACTTGCTTAGTGGGGTTGTACGCATCAAATGCTCGTTTAGTCTGGAAGGAAATGATGGAACGCATTGATAAGGTGAATCGTGCATGCATATTCTAGCTACACAGGAAAATTGCCAAAATTTTACAAGGAACTGACTCAGTAGCAACTTATTTTACCAAAGTGAAAGAGCTTTGGGCAGAGTATGATGCCCTAGTTCCCCATCCAAGTTGTGATTGTCCTAAATCAAAGGTCTGCATTAAACATTTGCAGCGTGAAAGACTACTTCAATTTCTCAGTGGTCTCAATGAGTCATATGAGTAGCATCGCAGGCAAATACTCATCAAAACAGCAAAGCTTAGTTTCAATCAAGCATATTCTATGATTATAAAGGATGAGAGTCAAAGGTCGCAATCTTTTTGACCTTTAATAGGGAAGATTGATCCCATGGATATATATGTAGGTCGTGGACAACCATACAAAGGAAAGAAGCCTTATATGCAATGTGAGTATTATAATATGAAGGGGCACTTAAAGGAGAATTGTTATAAACTGATTGGTTACCCAGCCTACTTTAAGGCAAAGAAGAAGTTTGTTGTTAATAATACAGTTGGGAACAATATAGTAGACAAGAAACCTCAGGTAGTGGAAGGTGAGGTTATTGGTGAATCTGCAAAAGGTGGATATTTTTTCACAGAAGACAGTACAATCAGATCATTGGTATGTTGAGTGTCAACAAGGAAGTTACAGGACCTCAAGCTAATTTGGCAAGTATTGCCATATCTTTTATGGCAGACGTAGATACTGCTTAATATATTATAGACTCTGGTGCTTCTCACTATATTATTGCCTCATTTAATACCTTAACAAATGTTAGTGAATTGAGTTCCAAGGATGAAGTTTACTTACATAATGAGCTAAGTCCAACATAACACACATAGGAATTTCTGATTTCCTTCAGAGTATGAGGGCTAAAGATGTGCTATATATTCTAGATTTCAGATATAATTTGTTATTTGTATCTAAGCTAACCAAAAGTCTCTCTTGTGCTGCCCTATTTTTTTTTTCTTCTGATTTTTGCATTTTTCAGAATCTCTTCAGTGGCAAAGTGAGGGAGATTGGTAAGGAGGAAGGTGGTCTATACATTGTGAGGTAAAGAAATAGTTGCAATAATATGAAGCATTTAGTGAAGAGTGCAGTAGTACAAGAAAAGTCAGTAGACAATAGTCTTTGACATCGTAGACTAGGACAC